CTATATGATGACATCTAGGTGAAAGAGTCTCTATGTGATGGGATTTATCTGACCTCATTAACGTGAGACAGCTAGCAGACGGTCGGTTTCGCCAGTATGTCTGCTTCCTGACATGAGCCCCAATTCATGTTTGAGCTCTAAGACTATGTGCCATATTATTAGAGGGAAGAGCGGCACCATCCCAGGAGAGATGAATACCATCTCTTTTCAACAGGTCAGGTCTGGCCCAAATTTTTTTCCAATTGTCTATGAACCCTATATTATTCTGTGGACACCACTTAGACAGCCAGCCATTGAGTGAGGACAGTCTGCGAAGTATCTCATCACTCCGGCGAACAGGAAGGGGGCCAGAGCAAATTACAGTGCCTGACATCGTACTTGCGACTTAACACACCTCTTTAACATTAATTTTAATGATCTCCGACTGGCGAAGTCGAACATCATTAGTGCCGACATGAATAATAATCTTAGAGAATTTAGGATTAGCATTAGCCATAACTTTAAAATTTGCTTTGCTTTGACTATGGTGGCTGGTGTCTCTATTTTCACGTTCCATGTAATAGAATCGCCAATAACTATAGGGCACATTCAGCAGGATTCACAGTGGGTGTTTCACTGAGTGGGGATAATCTATTTGTTATGGTAATCGGAACGGATGAGCTGTATTTTGTCCCACGACTACAGCGTCTCACGGTCACCCAGTTGCCCTGCTGCACGGGCTCTACAGCCCGAACCGAACAATGTACAGAGTTCACTAAGCTAGTCGCATCCAAAGCAGTATCTAAAGCCCTTGCATTCTTACTTTCCTTGATTAAAGTTTGGATGCGTGTCTCTAGTTCTGAAATTTTATCTCCCTGCATTTATCACATGTGTAGTCCTCACCGCTGACAGAGAAGGCTATACTATACATGTGACACGAAGTGCAAGTGACAATAACAGGAGAAGACATTACTCACCGTGTTTGTTGCCTGATCCTACTCACCACAGTTGTTTGATAGACTCGTAAAAAGGCGCGAGCGCGCACAGACGGCAAGCACGGATGGCAGGTTAACAGGCGAGATACTAGCGTGTTGTGCTTGCTATAACAATTTAGATAAAAGCTAGTGATGTCAGATTAATGTGATAGGCAATATTAGACCATATCTAATATGTTGATGAGTAAGTTATATTCAGCAATATAAACCAACAGGAATGATAGTAAATAGAGATTCAAAGCAGAAAGCTATACAGAGCATACAGACGCAAACCAGCAGCAAGGCAGTCAGTTCACCCAAAAATGAAAAAAAAAAAGGTCATAATTCTGGTCTGACTCGCCCTCAAACCTGTATGAATTTCTTTCTACTGCTGAACACAAAATAATACGGGTAACCAAACAGTTGATGGGCCCCACTGACTTTCATAGTATGGGGAAAAAAACAAAACAAAAACACAATCATGTTTGGCCCATCATCTGTTTGGTTCCTGGCATTCTTCAAACTATCTTCTTTTGTGTTCATAAGAAAGACATTCATGAGGTTTGGGTGAACTACCCATTTAAATGAGAAATAACCAACAACAGCAGCATTACAATTTGACTTCATTTCTGTGAAGTGTGAACTGTGCAAGCTAGAACAAAAGAATATTTTTTTTTTAATTAAAGAATGTAGTCAAATATAGTCAAAACAAAAATAGTAAAAGTAAACATCTACCCCCGGATCTGAGTGAGCATGAGCAAATCATTGTCTGGGCTCAAAATCAAGAAGCACAGAAATGTTTTATTGCTGCCAAAAGTAATTAATCTTCCCGCTCTATGGAAATTAATCGGATTATTTGGCCACGTGGCCCGGCAAATTTCATCTTCCATCTCATTCCTCCCGCAGGCTTGGCCACCTCGCCCACCTTCACTCTCTGCTTCAGAAACAACACAATCTTTTCAGCTGAGACATCTGTCATTATCTCCACAGGTCCTCACACTTTCTTCTGCATGCAGTTTTGCATGCAAATCTAGCTTGAATCTTCAGAAATGCCTAATAATAAATGTCTAATTATTTAAAATGTTTAAAACTTTGCAAAGTTTTTTTTTTTTTTTTGCTTAAATTGTCACCGTCCCACAGGTGGGACGTTTGCCATTTATATTTTTAAAACAATAATATCTTAGTAAAAACCTTAAGTAATATTGACAAACTATATATCATTTGAAAGCTTACAATCTCTAGTTTCAATATTTGGTGATTTTCAAAATAAATTACAGAGGAGCTGTAATTTATCAATTTGCAACAAGAATATTTTCATACTCCAGTCATACTCGTGTTCAGACCTTTATTTTGAAATAGCAATAAACATGAAAAATCATGAAAAAATGGTAGAAACCACAGTTTGTTTTCATGCCAAGAGTTCAAAAGATAGCATCCATTCAATTATTTTAGAAAAAAAGGTCTGAAAATGTTTTAAATATAAAGAAAAAAATTATAAATTCACCATTTGTGATGTGGCAACGAGCTATAACGCACATGCGTGTTCTTTGTATGCGTTTCTTAGAGGTTGAATTCATATCAAAATCTGCTAAACTTCCCATACTACTTCTGAATAGGATCTCTACTTCATAAATTGTATGAAAATTGTGGAAATAATGGTTCAGATCACTCAAAACACATATGGAAATGGAGGCACCCTTATATGGGCAGTAATGAAGTCTGGTTGTGACCTAGTGAAAAAGTTTGGTACTGCGCCCAAACAAAATCTTACTGAAAGCTAATTTTTTTGAGATATCAACCTAAAATTTTAAACACAACTTGTTCAGATTTTTGGCTTTTATTTTTCTGCAGTTTTAGAGTAGCCCAGGTTTTAAAAATATATGTTTTATATAACATACGTATAATTAATTTTTTTACATTGTACATTTCCATAAACTCAAACTTCTATAACTTTAACTTTTTTCTGTTTCACTTTCTTAATTTATTTCACTATTTCATTGCCAGGTGTCTTCTTTAAAACAAGACCAATCTGACGTCTATATTCCAAAGCATTCTTGAATTACAACCATTTAAGTTCGAAATGTGCATTTTCATGTCTATTCAAAAAAAGGGGGGTGACACTTAACAGGTTAAAAGGCGTAGTTAACCCCAAAATAAAAACGGTCATTTACTCACCCTCATGTCACTACAAACTGTATAAATACAAAGTTCTGTCATGAAACCCTAGATGGTGCAGGCTAATAGGTCCTTTAACTCAACCTGCTCATAATCACATTGTTATCTATAGGGCGCAGTTGATTGGTTCCTGCTGTATCAGTAGCCAATGAGCTCGCTGCTCAACCTTTAAATACGTGGGTAGAAATTGCCTTAGCAGTGCAGCACACTTTCAGAAACCCTCCACCTTCCCCAGCTCCACCTGTATAGATCTGCAACAGGTAATTCATGTTTGCTATATTGTACAGCAGCAGCATGTATTACTTGCTCAAAGCAGCGTGGCATATATGTATTGGCAGTAAGTTGTTATTACCTGAAAATTTTGAATAGCATGCAATTCTTTTTGACTACTGCAGTATGACATTATTATTATTATTAATAACAATAACATTATTGTTGTTGTGGTTATTATTTACAAGCAAATTATTATTATTATCATTATTATAGGGCATTTTAGCTAACTATTTACACCCAGTCCACAGGAGTGCAATCTATTAAAATATATTATTTAATTGCTTTATTTGGCTGTCTATTCATTTGTTTAACTAGCACTCCAAAAAATTTCACTTTTAGTTGATCCTTCTATGACATGTGGGTGAATAATGACAGAATGATCCTTTTGATCCCACCTCTTGTCAAAAATGCAAGAACTGTTGAAGTGTCATTTCTGTATTTGTCATGCATGATTCAGATGATGACATTTGATGCTGTATATGTGACATAATGGTACTGTAAACGATTTCATTAAGCAGGTGTTTTATCTCACTGTACACACTGTTCTGAGGGTGAGGGGGTCGACATACATTTCCCCAATGCATTCTTTAACCTTTTTAACCATGTTACACACCCCTCACAAAGTTATTACGGATGCTAACGGCCAATGCAGATGACTGAGCTGTTTGCGAGGACTGATTCATTTGAGTAGTGTAACTGTGTCACAAGGGGTTTAATTCATGCTCACACTTACACACACACGAAGTACATGTCACTGTGGGGTGAAGTCGTGCCACAGATGCCCCATATCAGTTCACACTTTGCTAATGAATGTATCAATCTGACACACAGTCCCAGTGCATGGATGAAGTAGCACATGAGCCCCTGTTAATTGCGCACTAGGCCCCATGAGTTTGACGGGTCAGAATTTAGATGGGTCAAGACTAAGGGTAAGTTTACACGACAACAATATGCTTAAAACTGAGAAGTTTTCCTTTGAGTTTTCCGCATACAGACAACACCATTGTCAAAACGATCCCCATTAACACGGATCTGCGAAAAATACTAAAAACGCTGTATTCTGCTGCTAGGCCATTAGATGGCGATGAAACACTATAGACTGAACACGTAATACGCATGTGCATGACGTCATGTGTTGTTTACACGGAGACCCAAAAACGTGCACTTTGAAACCCGTTTTCAGGCACCCACAACGCCATTGTCGTGTAAACGAACGGCCAAAACGCATACAATTTTACGTTTTTAGTTGAAAACTGTGTCGTGTAAACAGACCCCTAACATAGTTCAAGTAGAACTGTCAGACATGTGGGTTTCATTTTATTGCATGTTTTTGACCTGAATACCTTATATTCTGTGAATACATCGGCCCCCTGAAAGTTCTGAAAATGTTTTTATTTTTATTTACAACAACAACAAATATTATTGTCAATTTTAGCCAACCCTCACCATTTTTGTGTGCAATATGCATTAAACGGTGGCCAGTTCATGGGTGTGCTGCCAAAAAGGGTTAAAATATTTAGCTTGACGTTAGTTGATTTGTTTGTGATTTAATTGATTCTTTCTCTTTCTATTACAGTGGTTATACCTATATGCATTCTTGTTTCTTTGTTTGCCTGTGCAGATTAGTTCCATTTGACTGCTCAAGAAATTATCGGAGGACCCAGAATGTCATACGGATCCATTGACGCAGGCTCTTTTGGAAGCAGAAATCCATTTGGTGGGCCCACAAGGCAGGGATACCAGCCAGTAGGTAAAGACACATTTTTGTTTATGCTCACAGGCAGGGGTTCTCTCTATTTATCATCAGGCATTGTTGAAAAAAATATTATAAATCATACGACGGAGACAAAGATTTTGGTCCCTCCTCATTTACTGAAGCACGGCATTATGCGTTTATTCCTTCTCCATAAATCATCATGGGATTAATAAGCCATATGGCTAATTCAGTGAAGTTCTGCCTCGTCGGAGTTCTGATGTGTTTAGTAATGAGTAGTATGTTGACAATTAAACATTGTCTTCGATAGTTATAATACAATGTCATGGTAACAGAAGAGCTTGTTAGATCTTTCAACAAAAAATAGCTACAGGTGAAAATATTGCATCCCAAAAAGAAATATGGAAATTAAATATGGATAACACTTCTTTTTCGGGCAGAGTAAAACCTCAAGCCTTAAAGGTACAATATGCAGGATTTTTCGCCACCAGGGGTCGCTAACCTCTTACAATAACAAAGGCGTATAATGATGACGTATATTACGCATTAAGCGCAAGTATGGATCATGTCGTCAAGCTGATGGATCTTTTATGGATGAGTGAATACATTGATGTTTTTAACATGACTGTGGTATGAAACAGGGCGCGATTGCTAGACGTATACCAGCGCCACACGCAACGCGAGTCCCGCGGATTTAAAGGAATAAGGACATTTCATTCTACCGATCTACATGCAAGTGCTGAATTCAGGGGCGGAGTGGGACCAAAAAATCAACCGGGAAATTTTGTAGACCACCGGCCCTCGTCGCCGGCAGCGCCGGATTAAGAGTTCAGAGGCCCCTGGGCACAATGTCTTGTAGGCCCCCTCTTAGGCAGGCCAAATGCATATTTTGTCCAAGGACATTTTAATATGGCATTTACAGTTTTAATTACTTAAAAGGAACTTTGTTGCACTATGCTGGATTAAAGTTCATAAATGGTTGTTCTTTCACATAGGATTTTATGTTGGGTGGACCTCTGTGCCTCTAGGGGGGTTCGGGGGCATGCTCCCCCGCAAGAAAATGTTGTACATTTTAAGGTTAAATTCATCAATCTGGTGCTCTTTGAGAGATCAAAATTAAGAGCTTCAACCCATGAACTGCTCATTGAACAAAGAAAAAGCATTGATTTGTACATGGACATTAAAGAGGGCTCAAACATCTTTTTAGTTATGAGAGTCTCAGTCTACATTATTATCAATGGTGTTTTAGGATGCCAAACAATTATTATAATACTGTAATAATGATTTATATAATTATTCCTATGACGTAAAATCCATATAGCCTATAAATGTACTGTAAAAATGAAAATGAATATTTCCAAAGTATATTTTAGCCTACATTACACTATAGGACTAGTAGCCTATAGCAAAATTAAAATACTTTTGTCCTAATTTCTTCACTGGCAAGAAATAAACCCTTGAGCTTTTATAGGAGAAAACACCAGATCACCGTGCTGATCGCGTGAGCAAAGAGCGCACTTTTCTTTCAATCACGCAGCACAGACAGGATGCCTATATACTTAATTAAAGTCTTGTGCTGTTTTATAAAGGCACAAAGCCATATCATGGTTTCGATTTTAGTTCGTTGTCAAAATATAACGCTAGAGACCTTTATTTGCGGTACAGTTTATATCTCATATGTGTTGGGAAAAGGGAGAAGAGAGAGTTCGGCAAAAGGCGGATTCGAACTCGGGTCGAACGCGTCAAAAGCTGCTTTCAAGCACTTCACACCCTACGACCTACGCCACTGTAGTTACATCGTGACGGGTGTCTTTTTGCTGAAAAGACAGGCACTTAGTGCAAATATACGCTCCATTATCAAAAATGTTAAAAAAAAAACGTTTTTGTTTTTTTTCTCGCTTGGGCCTCAAGTGCGCATGGCTATAACACTTAACATGGTATAACGGTATAACTATTATCAGACCGGCCCTCGCGGGCCTCGAAACACTCCCGGCCCACCGGGGAAACTCCCGACTCTCCCGATTGCCACTCCGCCCCTGGCTGAATTAATACCAGAGACAATTTATATAGAGACATGCCACTTCCTCAATCCTCAATTTACAACTATATAGGGAAAAGTAAACCCGTAACGCCAAAGATGGCGGTTGTATGCACATGCCCCGCCCCTCCCGCTGGAAAGCCAATCGTCTGCTTTTAACAGTCAAGCCGGGAAACATGTAAGTCTATCGTCTGGTTCCACTGACGCATGCGCACAGTTGAGGTTTGCGAAAGCAGAGACGAGAACCCTTGCGCATGCGTAGTAAACGTATAACCTGTGGGGAAAAATACCTTTTAAACCTTATTTTGAGGCAAAGTCATCAAACTTTTTCAGCGATTTTTATCAAATTTTACTGCTGTTTCTATACAAGCAGTTTTTATGTCCCGGTGACCAGTGAAAGTGCAGTTCTGACTCTCTGCCCATTCATTTAGATGGGAGCCTGGTCTTGTTAGTCCGAAATAGCTGCCCGGAGGCGTTGCCAAGATGGCGGCCGAGTGGCATGACTTGCCTAAAAGGACTTTGTTAATACTCACACAGGTCAGTTTATCAGACGAATGAAACTTGAGGTACCGCAGCGCTGTTTCACTTGCTCTAACAGTTACACTATCACACTAAACGCCATTTGTGGGTGGAATGTTGTTAGTTAGGTTGTTTGTTGGCTGTATGCGAGATTAACATTAGAGAATAATATACAGATCATATTCTAACTTTTCATCATGTTGAACTACATAACATTGATTAGTTGTATGTACATTTGTTCACCTGTCTAATAAAGTAACATGCAACACTCGCGTCTCTGTCAAGTCGAAGTTAGTCGCGGACGTGTAGCTCTGGGCATCTCGAAAGATGTTGATCTTCGTTTTAGTCCTCTTTTTGTCTCAAAGTCTGCTTGCCACGGTCCATAATGTTTGAACAAAACAACAACAGCGTGAGCGTCCTTCTAGGCATAACCCAGTTGTCAACGTCTGTCGCCATGGTTACTATTGCAGTACGAGGTCAGAGAATGTCTAATATGGGGAGAACTCCCACTCACATTAAACTTCCGGGGTCTGAACTGGTTGTAGTTCCACTCGAGGTCCATATGAGGGCGCTCACAGGCGGAGTGCAGAATGAATGGAGGTCTATGGAGCAATACCCCTAAAAATCCACTTTTCTCAGGATATAATTTTTGTCTAGTAATTTGAATGTTGTATTCGAAAGAAGATGCAACAAAATTACACATTACTGGGTGTTAGATTTTTTAGAGTCACTTATTTGCTTTAAAAAGTCTTTTAAAATGTAAATGACGTCATAAACATCGTACGACCAGAAACCTGCTTTACGGCAATCCTTCATTCACTGGTGCTTTCGCGCATAGACAGACGAGAGAAGCCGCGAAATTTAAAAATACTACTGTTATTGTGTCACGAAATGTAGTTTTAATAGTTTTTCAGTCGACAATGTAGTTGTTTAAAGCTCAAATCTGTGGTTTATTTATAAAGATAGCGCCTATTTAAAAGTTTGATCTGACGTTTTCGGAGTTGTGAGGACCAGTCTTTCACCGGGTCTCAGCGCTCTGCACCCCGCCTGGAACAGCCTTTCCTCGGCTAGTGCTTCTGACGTTTGCCGCTGGCTCTGATGTCTCTAGTAGTGGTTAAACATGAGATATAATTCGTCTTGTGTATATCTAACGGGCGATCTTTGGTATCATTAATCGTATCATTTGTTCCCTGGCAAATCGTTTTGGATGAAGGCAAAGTGAAGTTTCATAACTTTATATTTTGGCTATTTTAACGTTGTATCCTGCTGTGTCTGAATGGTTTACTTTAGTAAACCATTCAGACTTGTATAAGTCTTGTATAACTTATTATACCTTTTAGGCTACTTATACTGTTATAATGTCTCTTACTGATCAATAAAACTGAAATTTAACAAAAATAGACAGGGTTGTGTCATTTTATTTTATATAGCCTATATTTTATATAGCCTTTTCATTACTATTTTATTTGCTGTATACTGTTTGTTTGTTTATTTTATTGACTAAACTATTTACTATTACTCACTGTATCTTATATTTACTATTTGCACTGCATTGTAGTTGTACCATATCGTATTACCATAGATAAAGGATCCATCAGTTATCTTTGTTATTGCTAAAATCGGGTCAATCACAGAAAATGCTTTTTCCACAATAAGAACACAATCGCAGCAACGTTTCAAAGCGGCCAATAGGGCGCCGTCTATGTATTTATTATGTCTATGCTTTTGCGCTTTGCACTTTCTTTTCTCTCGAGGCATCAACTACACATCTGACACGGGTAAATATCTTTTTTACAGTCTATGGTATATACATTTGAGAGAGTTCAGTCCGCCTATGGCCTTAACATTGGTCCCGCTTCGGATCATAGACATCATATAGTCTATTTCTTTCGTTCACCATAAATTAATGACAACATTTAATTTAATTGAAAGGAGGGTCCCACTTATGTATTTAGTTGGAATTCAGTCAGCTTAACTGTTAATGTAATAAAATAATGATTTCAATTTCAATTAAATTAAATGTTGTCATTAATTTATGGAGAACGAAAGAAATAGACTGTTCAGTAAATGTAACGTTTACAAAAATGTAAAAATGCAACATATGATGGCAGAGCTTTCAGCTTATTCCTCTATCCTAGAGAGAGTGAAGTGCTACTAAGTGCTAAATGTGGATTTCTGTCTAGATATGTAATAACATTTAGCAAAAGAAAACCTCAAAAAGGTTCATTATAGATACAGTAAGATACAGTAAACACCTGTTCACCGCTCATTTTCCTCAGCTGTAGGCAAAGGCAAGCACACGTTTCAAATCAGTGCTTCTCTCGGGAGACTAGCGCTAAATTAATCCCCTATATTAGCGCCATCTACTGTTTTAGAAGAAGAGGAAGTCGCTCAACTGCATTTGTGAGAAAATCGAGCCGAGAGATCTCATAAAAAGCCAAGTGTCTCACACAATCATAACAGACAGATATGCATTTGT